AAAACCCATTTCTGAAGAAGGGTCTAGGCCCGAAACGTCAGCCTTCCTGCTCTTCTGATGCTGCTTGGCCTGCTGTGTTCATCCAGCTCTACACCTTGTTACCTTAGGACAAAACTAGGAAATTGGCAGAAGTTAGCAGGCAATGGAGTCTGAAAAAGGAATTCAAATTTGATACTTAAAAGTTACATCTGCCAGTAGCATGTTTTAACTCCTCCCGTTGAACATGGTTTTCACAATATAAATGGTATGCTCAACATCAATATCCTTTGATATAAATTTGTCATGCAGCAACCTGTCAACTCAAACAATACAGCATCCTTTGGCCAAGTGACTTGTGAATTCTGAAGTTAGATGTACAAACACAGAAAACAGCCAGATCATATAATTAATGTCAACATATCTGGTCGTTGAAATAGAAAAAACAATTCAGACTTCTATAATGTAACTTGTTTATCTGTGACTTGAAGTCCTGTGACCAAAAAAACCTTGCAAATTTATTAATGCAACATTTTGTTTAATAAATTTAACTTCATTTATATTTTCTGAAAAAGGTAAATATTTGATTCATTTTAGGAAACTTTAATTTTTATTTTTAAGCTTAAAATGTTCGATTCAAATAATGACGGAAAGCTGGGACTGGGAGAAATGGCAAGGTATGTCATTTTCAATACAAATTTATTGTTTAAAGCAACAATATTATTGAAATAGTAAAAACATATCTACTTATATGCAAAATTCATTTTTGAATAGGTTACTTCCTGATAAAGAAAATTTTCTTCTTAAATTTCAGGTAGGTCCTTTCTTTGGAATAGGTATATTGACAGGTAAAAGAAATGCATATTTGGGGATAAACAAAGTACAGTAACTTGAGCAACTGGGATGATTAGAAACTCCATCCTATAACTGAAATATAAATATGTGTATGCTCTCAACTTCACAAATGGCACATAATGCTGTCAATATAAAACAATGATATACTCAAATTCTAAAATATGTAACATCGACATTTATTTGGATCACATATTTCTGTCACAGTGAAATTTAGCTCTTATTTTGTGTTTGCCGGAAGCCTCTGTTTTCCGTCTCCAGGATAGGAGTGGTTTGCTGCTTTTTACAAGTTCTTAAGATGCACTTTCAAATTGGGTGGTACTGTGCTGTCCCACCTGAAGCCAAACCAGCATCAACCTCTTGGGTCTCATCAGGCAGGTGCCAAATTCCCACTTTGGGCAGTAATTGCTTACAAAATTCTTAACAGTTTTATCACTTTTAAAACTGTCCCAACAGATACTGAAAACAAAAAATGCTGGAGATCACAGCAGGTCAGGCAGCATCCATGGACAGAAAGCAAGCTAACGTTTCGAGTCTAGATGACTCTTCATCAGAGCTGATGTGAAGTGTGGAGGGGGCAGCACTTATGCAATAACGGGGAAGGGTGAGGGGTTGGAGTGCTGAGGGAAGAAAGGATGTTGACAGTTCAGATTAAGTGATCAGAAGGTGAGAATGGCGGGACAATGATGTGTCTAACTGCCAGACTGGAAAGAACAGACAGTCTCACTGGTGTGGAGGGAGGGGTGAGAGAACATGGTGACAGAGAATGTAACAAGCAAAGCTAAGGAAAGGGAAGGAATGGGTTCACAAACAGAAGGCATTGAACTCAATGTTGAGCCTAGATTGTTATAAAGTGCCTAGCCTGAAGGTGAGACGTTGCTCCTCCAGTTTTTGCTGTAATTCACTGGAGCATTGCAGCATGCCGAGGATAGACAAATAGGCATGTGAGCAGGATGCAGTGTTAAAATGACGGACTATGGGAAGGTTGGGATCATGCTCGTGTGCTCAGGTGATCAGGTCCCCCTTGTCCTCATTTTTCATCACACCTTCCTCCGCATTCAAAGGATCATTCTCTGCCATTTCAGACAACTCCACCACCAAACACATCATCCCCTCACTCCTCATCTGCATTTCACAGGGATCATTCCCTCCAGGACACCCTAGTCCATTCCTTGTTTGCCAACACCACTGCCCCCTTCCCACATAACCACAGAAGGTGCAACACCTACCCCTTCACCTCCTCCCTGCTCACCATTCAAGTTCCTAAACAGTCTTTCCAGGTGAAGCAGCAATTCACCTGTACCTCCTCCAATCTTGTGTACTGTATTCAGTGCACCCCATGTAGCCTACTGTAAATTGGACAAAACCAAATGCAAACCGGGTGACCACTTTGCAGAAAACCTCCGGTCTATGCGCAAGCATGACCCTGAGTTGAGATATTGAGTTCGATGCCTTCAGGTTGTTAACCCATTCCTTCCCTTTCTTTTAGCTTTGCTTGTTACATTGTCTGTTACCATGTCTTGTCTCCCCTCCCCCCAACCCCAGTGGGACTGTCTGTTCTTTCCAATCTGGCAGTTAGACACACCATTGTTCTACCATTCTCACATTCCGATCACTTAATCTGAACTATCAACATCCTTTCTCCCCCAGCATGGCAAACCCTAATCCCAACTATTGCATTAATGCTGCCCTCTCCACATTTCACGTCAGCTTTGAAGAAGAGTCACCTAGACTCGAAACGTTGGCTTGCTTTTTCTCCATGGATGTTGCCTGACCCACTGTGATCTCCAGCACTTTTTGTTTTCAGTACAAATTTGAGCATCTCAGTAATTTATCCCTACAGATGTTTCCATTTTACAGTAGAAATTTATTTAACCTGAATCCACAGCAAGCAAGAAGGATCATTCATATTGGATATGTTTATAGATTACAAGTATTATAACAATTGGTTGCAATTTACAGAAATATCATTTACTTCAATATTCTGTCATGTGATTTCTTTTTTACTTTTCAGGGGGTGAATATGTCTTCAACAGAATTTAATGATATTTTTGACTATTATGATCAGGTAAGTTTTCTAACACCTAATATATCGACTTTTAGTTAACTAAATGTACTATCAGGATCATATTGCTACAAAAGAAGCAGTTTCAGTACTTTAAAGTAGTAATATTATGATTTTGAGTATGAACAGAGCTCAAGACGACCAAATACCATTTAATTATTGTATAAAATAATAACGTCATAATTAAAGACTTGCTAATGTGAAGAATGGTTTCAGACGTTGAAAAAAATGTTCAATTGTACATTCCAGAGGGGACCTCTCCTCCCCAAAAAACAGGTGGAATTGCAATGGAGAATGATGGGAAATTTGGTCAGCTAGGTGCAATCACTGATACAATTTCCCTTTCCCACTCAGTGCAGTGGCTGCTGATTAAATTTATTACCACTAATTGCCCTTTTGAGGTGTCACTGTGTGGAAGACGTCATGTTACAGAAAGACTGAGTTCTCAGAATAGAGGGAGGTGGCTTTGTAGAAGCTTCTCCTACCTATAAATTGGGCCTAGCACTTTACTGCTCATGTCTTCTTTGAGGCTCAGGATTTCAGTGCAAGTCTAGCGCTGTCTTCAGCATGTTTCTGACCAAAATAGGGTTGCTTGCCACTTCTATTGGTGCCACAGAGTAAGTCCTGCTTCTTACTTGATTTCTGCCCTTACACTCTTGGCAGATAGTATACCACTATATAACTCACCCATGTATATGAAATGAAACTTCTGAACCAGGACAATAGTTCAGGGTTGGGCTAACTATGGATGAGTGGAACAAAGTTCCATTCTGTGAAATTCTGCTTTAATAGAGAAAGTCACTTTGCAGGGCGTCTCAAAAGTTAGCAAATAACTCACTGGACAAATAATCCCACAAATGACTAAGATTCAAACAATTAATTTTGATTATGTACTGCACAACATCACAGCAGGACCATTTGCTTCACAACCCAATCCTTGCAATGAGAAGCTTCAAAAGTTCCAAAGAAGCATCTTTGAACTTGAAACACTAGCCTTGTTTCTCTCTATCTGCAGATGCTGCCAGACCTGCTGAGTTTCTCCAGCATTATCTGTTTTTATTTCTAATGTCATCATCCTTAATATTTTACTTTAAAGTGAACATCAAGGGACATTATCCATCACAAATACAGTTCTTGGTACCCTCTCAACAATGGAGAAGCAGTACAATTTAGATAATGGCAATTTTGAAGAAGAATTTGTTTGGTGACTATAGGCTAGATATTATCAGCCCTTCAGAAACAGGTTGAGAGGTCAGACAGCTGGAAAAGTGACAGGGAAACGTCTGGAATTTTCCCACTGCCAGTGGGGAAGTGGGGTGCGGCGCAACAGCAGATCAGTTGCTAACTTGTGGTCCAATTGAGCTACTTAAGAGGCCAATTAAGAGCCTCTTACTAACTTGGCAGACATTTTGCCAATATCTGGAGGGTTCAGCATCATGTGGACAGAATACGTGGCAATCCTTCAGCAGACCCTTGGGTCCCCAGCAATGGGGGGTGGTGGTTGCTGGCTGAAGGGGGAAAGTAAGTGTAGATTTCTTATAGAAGTACAGTTTTCTCACAGGCATGTAATAAGGAACAAACATATAGGTAAAAGTAAGGATTAAAAGAGCACTTGCTTGCTGCTGCAGAGACAGGCAACTAGTTAAAAGATAGTTCCCAAGGGAACAGGCCATACTCCAGCAGGAAGCAAACTAGTCTGCAGATGTTAGTGACAAGGGGTCAGGGCTAGGCATGATGTGTAACTGCATGTTTATTTTTGATAAAAGTTTCAATAGATAATAGTCCCAGAGTGATAGTGTAGGAGCTGTATACCAATGATAGTAAACTACGTGATGTTGATAGATTTACAGCTCATGCTAGATGTGGATAGTATTTAATATAGTTTCGGGGTTGCGTCAGCCTGTTTGTGTAATGGTATAAAAGAAGTACTTTCTTACCATTGTATTTGGAGAGAGTTCAAACTCCTGAGTGAGTCTTGGACCCCGTCTCCCTGCATTTACATTGGGGTTGTGCTTGAATAAAGTTCTCAGGTGCTGCTTTACTTTGCTGTCTCAGAGTCTCTGACTGCCTTTACAGAGGTCACTCTTGCACTGGCCACCAACTTTAATGGAATGGAAGTTCTTGCAGCTGCCATTCAACTTACTGCTATTTGTGAAATGCAGCCCTAATTCCTGCCATTGACTAAAGGAGGGGGGGGGGGGCGTTGCCCATGCCAACTGTGGCTCGTGCCCAGCTGGCTCTCCCTAATTAACTCATTAACCTTGCAAAAAATTGCATTTCACCTCTCACTGAAAATTAATCCTGGCTGTCGGTTGTGTAGGTTTAATTGAAGTGTTACTTATGAAGAATGACGTTTAACCATTCTGAACCAGAAAATGGAACAGTCTTGGAGTCTCATTCCTTAAAGAGATTTTAAAAGTGTCAAGATCCCACATATTGTGTTGCAGATTCTGCAATTTTGGATTGGTGGCCGTTGGGAACTTACAGACTCAAAACCCATAGAGGGTCCCAAACCAAATGCAAGTGGAATGTTTGGCTGATGCCTGTATTAGATCATAAAACCATAAAATGTAGGAGCAGAAGTAAAGCTAATTGGCCCATAAAGTTTGTTTCACGATTTAATTAGATGATGGTTGATTTGATAATCCGCAGTCCCACTCTACTGCCTTTTCTCCATAATCCTTGATTCCTTTCCTAATTAAAAATCTATTTCAGCCTCAAATATATTTAATGCCCAAACCTCTCTTGTCATCTGCAGTAAAAAATTCCTTACATTCCCTCCTTTCTTTGAGAAGAAATTCTCCACATTTCTGTCCTAATTGGGTGACCCCCTTACTCAGATTATGCCCTTTGGTCCTAGACTGTCCTCCAATGTTGTTGACCTGATTATTGATATTGAAGTGCACCGTAAGAACTACAATCCACCCAAAGTAGACTGAAGTCATTGGAAAATAAATTCAAGTGGAAATAAAATAGGCTACTGTTTTATCTCCTGTTTCGCAGTACCTAAGGCCAATTTTGCATGCACTGTGTCCACTTCTAAAGATCCTATTTAGAAGAGACGTTCAATCCATGAACAAAGCTAATATTTGCTATAACAACGGGCTGAGATATTAATCATTAAGAAATACCATAACCTAATTTCTCAGTTTTATCAAAGGTTAGAAGTTACATAGAGGTACACAAAGGAGAAGAACATTTGAAAAGGGAGTAACTATTTTCAGTAGCTGGTAAATCAGTAAGCATAAGGCATAAAAGTAGAATTAGTAGAGCCAGAGATAGAGAAGGAGGAATATTTTATGCAGTGCTTTCAGAAGATAGAATATTCCATAAATGATGATAGGTTCAAAATCAATAATTGTTTTTAAATTGGAAGTGGATAGTGTTTGAAACATTAAAATTTATAAAAGAGATGATGACTTGGAGGAAGGTATGGAACTAAGTGCAGATATACCTTCTTAGTGCTGTAATATTTGTCAGTGCTACATGTTAACTTACATATGAAATACATCAGATCCTCAGGGAACATGACACCTAAAAGGGTCGATGCTGTAAAGGTTTTCCCCTTTGTCAAAGATACAAGAACTGGGGGACATAGTTTAAAAAAGGTCTCCCATTCAACATGATGATAAGGAGGATCATTTTCTCTGTGAGTAATGAGTCTCCAAGACTCTTCCCCTGGGAATGATAAAGGTGGGATCATTGAATATTTTAAGGTAGAGGTAGTTAATGATGTGGGGTGTGTGCGTGCGCGTGTGCGTGTGTCAGTAGTTGTCTTGGATAGGCAAACATGTTGATTTGAGGCCACAATCAAATCAACCACGATCTTATAGAATGGAGGAGTAGACTAAGGATGCCAAATTACCTACTTCTGCTCCTATATTCATAGAATGGTTCAGCTGAGCTATTCTAAGGGGAATTAGATGTTTATCAGTGAAAGAAGAATATGCAGGATTAGTGGTGGGGTGGTGGTGGCAGGGAGTGGTGAAGACAGAAAAATGTCACAAAGTGCATTCTCACTTGCAAAGCTGCTGTACACATGATAGGGGCCAAGTGATCTCCTTTTGCTCTGCAAAAATCTTGTTATTTTGCTATAAACATATTAATGATGGATTTCGGCCACAATTATGAAATTTGCAGTTAAACTATAGTGAGGACATAGGCTAATGCAACGGCAGATATTTGGCAGATGAAATTCAATATAGAAAATAGAGAGATATATTTTGGAAGGAACAATGTGTGTACTACTTGCAAGATGCTATGATTTTAAAGGAGATGCAAGGAGGCCTATGGATGCTTGTACACAATCCTTTCAATGTGGCAGGATAGCTTAATAAAACACCTACAATATTGTCTTTATATGTTAGAGGTAGGGTACGAAATTAAGAAGCTGTTCTAAATCTGTACAAAATACCAGTCAAGTCCAGCTGGAGTACTGTAGCCAATTTCAGGTTCTCATATTGGACATGTGCAAAGGTTGTGGAGATTGTAAATACAGGTGGCCCCCAATTATGAACATCTGCCTTATGAACACTTTTTTTATTCATTAATGGGACGAGGGCATCGTTGGCTAGGCAGTATTTATTGCCCATCCCTAACTGCCCAGAGGGCAGTTCAACCACATTGCTGTGGGTCTGGAGTTACATGTAGGCCAGACCAGGTAAGGATGGCAGTTTCCTTCCCTAAAGGACATTAGTGAACCAGATGGGTTTTTCCAACAATTGACAATGTATTCATGGTCATCATTAGATTTTAATTCCAGATATTAATTCCATCTGACATGGTGGGATTCAAACTGGGTCCCCAGAACATCATATGGGTCTCTGGAATAACAGTCCAGCGATAATACCATTGGGCCATTGCCTCCCCCTACTTACAATTGAGATCCCATTCAAAAGTATATTAAATATTAATTTTAAAGATCCAACATGCAAACATTTGTTCATAGTTACAAACTTTTTTTAGATTTCATTTTATAATGCATTCCAACTTGCATACAAATTGACTTATAATTGTACTCAAGAATAGAACCATTCATAACTTGGGTACTGCCTGTAAAAGATTTGCTAGAATGGTTCCTGGGATGAGAGATATGATAGAATGTAGGAGCTGTGGTTGTTCTCCATAGAGCAGAGAGCAGCCTTATTTGTAATAGAACATTCTGCAAGCCGCCTTTTCCATATATTCCATCAACCTGTTCAGATATCTTTTGACACAAGTCTGGGGCAGGAGAAACTTAAAACTTGACCGTCTGGACCAAGATAGGGAAACTAACGCTGCAGCAAAAGTGGGCTTAGAGTAGGGCAGGTTAATAAGGAGATTTGAAATAGTGTATACTTCATGTAAGGCTGAGAATGTGCAAATAAAACTAAACTGTTTCCAGTGGCTGACAGCTGATAACCAGGGAACGTGGTTAAAAGTTTTCAACAAAAGAATCATAGGCGATGCAAGGAAATACATTTTCACGCGAGGGGTTAGGATTTGGAACAGACTGCTTTATTAGGGTGATGTTTCCTAACTTAGTAGTAGCCTTCAAAAGGTAATTGGGTAAATATTTGAACAATGAAAAAGATGTAGACATATGAGAAAAAAGGAGTGAAAGTGATTAGATTTCTTTTTGAAAGAACCAATTCAGTCCCAGTGGTTTGAACTGCATCCTACTGCATGTACAATAATTTATATTTGTGTAGCATCTTTAATATAACATCTCAAATCATTTCAAAAGGACATTATATAGAGTTTTGCTTAATAAAGAAAAACTCAATATACCGATGGAGAACCAAAATTCTAGGATCTAAATAAAATTGTTTATGGGGAAGCATTTTACATTCTATTTGCAGTACTTCACATCAACCACTAAATGCTGCAAAACATTTTTAAACTCTTGAATTATTTTTATAGTGTAAGGTTAGTGGTTGCTTCCTTCTATTTTTGAATGCGGGCAGGGTCACAGTTTCAATGATAATGGGTTGGCTATTAAGGTTTGAGAAGAGAATCTTCTTCATTCCAAGGGTTGTGAATCTTTGAATTCTGCACATAGAAAGCTGTAGATGTTCAGACATTGTGCTTAGACTGAGATCGAATTTAGGGACTTAAATTTAACTGGGACAAGGTAACCATAGTAGTCCAAGCCAAACATGGTCACGCCTGGGAATTCCTACAGGCATGGTTCTCCACTCGTAATGCAATCAACAAGCATATAGAATTGGACCCCATATATAAACCCATACAGATCAAAACCAGAAATGACAGTACTCACCATAACGGACTGGACAGTATAAATTCCAAGCAGAGTAGAATAACATCGCTTCATCAGGGGCTCCACTGATGATGTCACCAAGCATGGTGACAAAACGTCTGTACAAAAACAAGCCAGCTGGGCGAGCAAGTCAACAACCTCACCCACAACCAGAAGTACAAATCTTTGCCAAAACTTTAAATAATGTTGTCCTTCCATGACATAATTTAAAGAATTATTTTGAACACAGCATATAAAAGTTTTACTTATATAGCGGATATAGAAAACAACCTGCTTGTGGTGAAATACACTGAATTAGATTCATTTTGTTTTTTACTGCTCCTTAAACACAGCAATTTGTAAAACGTTGATACCGAATCTTAATCAGGAAGCGAGCTTTTGTGTAGCCACTTGTTTTGATCATATTTATTTAGTAAAACACCTATTAAAACACATAAGTAAGAGGAAGTTTCTATTGTTAATATTAGATTTTGTTTATACTAAACATGAACTCCCATGTCCTACCACTATTGTAAATGCATCAAGATGCAGAGATTGCCTGCGTGACAAGACTCCCTTCACAACAAATTTAACTATAAAAAATAATTTGTTACATGAAGTTAAATCAGAAAATACTGGAAATAGGCAGACCTGACAGTATTGGACGAGGGAGAAACAGGTTTAAGCTTGGGGGTATGAGAATTCCTACAAGTGGTCACATATCTGAAAATTAAACACTAGGTAGAATTTTCCCAGTACGTAAACAATCTGGCGAGAAAGTTAAGTGGCAAAAATTTAAAAATGTGGATCTTAACATCATGAAAAAGAAATTTATTTTTCTCTTAAGATTCCAATGGCGGGATGAGAATCTCACTATTAAGTTGTGAGTCCTGTTTGCAATCATTAACATATTATTAGCTAACGTGACTTCAACGCAGGTTGCTGGTTTCCCAGGTACCAGTGATAAACTAAATGGCACCAATTTCCGACTTCAAAGTCAGAGCTCTTACCCTGGTAGCTGCAGCTTTCCAGTATCTTGGCCTGCATATTAGCCAGCGTTCCCCAACACCCCAAGCCATGCATCATGGGCAGTGACCAGCTGCACCCAAAGTACCAGCCTCACCAGAGCATCTTGGCACATCTTCGATTATAATACAGCTCAGTTCTTTGCTATTGCACTTTAGAGATCGCTAACATCTTACATTATAATGCTGCTGCTGGGCCACTTAGTGCACAGGGACAGGCACCCATGTCACGCATTGAAACAGTGTGCATCTGAGTGCTCATTCACTTTACATTTATTGGACATTCTGCTTCTGTGTTGTCATTTTGCATTTACCACTTCATTCAAAAAATGTAAGGTCACAGTTGTTCTGTCTTGTCTTGCTTTGCCTTTCAGTGCAGAAAGAAAGCCATGCTTCTATTACTGAACAGTCAAGGTGATAGACAGTTTCGATATGGCTATTAATGTCATAGCTACAGCAAGTGACTGAGCTTACATGGCAAACACATTGCAAGTTTGAAATGCTAAGGGGAGCAGTCCTTATTCTAGTGAAGGGCGACTGTGGTCTGTCAGGGGTTGCTGCTGTAACTCACTCAATCTCAGTCAGGGGTTGTCCATGGTCACTTGGCTGCTTGGTGAGATTAGGGTCCAAGGATGCTTGTCCTTATAGAATGCGGGTTGAGTCCAGCCAATTTGCACAGAAATTAGTAAAGGGTCTGGGTCACCATCATGGTGGAGTGTCCTCTCAAGTCAGTCCGTGGGATAGGCTATAATCAATCCGGGGTGTTTGTGCACTCAAGGTCAAAAGTGGTTATTGGGAGCAGGGCTGTGTAGGGAAAAGTAGGGACATCAAATGTAGGGATTGGTGTCAGTATGTTGAGATGCAGAGGGAAGCAAATCTAGATACAAGAGTGGGAACAGGTAATAGCATGGGAGGGTACAAAGTACTTCAGAATGAAGTCTTTGGTAGTCACTGCAATCCAGTCCTCCTAGGGAGGGGGTTCATCAGATAGCAATGTTGATAATGACTGTGATCAGGCCTCCGGGTAAAGGAAAAATTGGAGATATTAACAGTTAAATAAAAGAGTCGGGTGTGAATATCAGGAGGCTCCATGCTGAGGAGTTAACAGGGACTATGATGCAAGACAAAACATGAAGGTGGAGGCAAGGGCACCTAGATCTGGAAACCTTTCATTGTCAACTGTACAACATAAAAATGGCTGCCAGCACACCCAGAGGGGGACAGAGTAAGAGTATTTTGTTTTGTCTGTGGGGTCCGTTTCATTTTTACAAGGTTATTAACAGTCAACGCCAGGGTGTCATTTTCGGCATGAAACTGAGAAGGTGTCTGATTTCTGCAGTCCTCTGAGTGCTAATGACCTAGCATACTTTTTCCTTGGCCAACTGCCCAGTCACACTTACCAAAACATGCTTCCAAATCAAATCAAGCTAAAGTAGGCACCAACATGCAAGTATATAAGATGATGTGGAGTTGGAGAGCAATGCGTGGAGAGGGTGGTGAGGTGGTGGTTACAGGACAAACCCTTGCTGCTGGACCGCTTGAGGCTTCTTTCTCTCAAGTGAACAAGGAATTGTTCTCTTGTGGGCAGAGGGTGTCTGGGTTCTGCTGGTGCCTGGGTGGCATGGGCAAGTTGGGCTGAAGGGCCTGTTTCCATGCTGTAGACCTCTACGCCTGTGTAAGAGCAGGGAGGGAACAAGTTGTGAGAGAGGTAGCAGAGAGAGGATGGTGGAATTTACCCTAGCAGAGTGTCGAAGGTCATTAACTGACTGTAACATTGCTGCATCTGTCTCCAGACCAATTGACAGATGGAATTCAATCTGAATAAGTGCAAGATGATGCACTTAGGCAGAATAAGCAATGCAAGAAAATATATGATGAATGGTAGGATCCTGGGAAGCATTGAGGATCAGATGGACCTTTGTGTACATGTCCACCAGTTCATTAATGTAGAAGGTCAGGTAGATAAAGCTGTTAAGAAGGTAAATGGGATACTTGCCTTTATTGACTGAGGCACAGAGTTTAAGAGCAAGGTGGAAATTCTGGAAATGTAAAAAAAAGTTAGTTAAGTCACAGCTAGAGTTTTGTGTGCAGTTCTGGAATGCACACAATGGGAGAGATGTGATTTCATTGGAGAAAGTACAGACAACATTTACTGGAATGTTGCCTTGGCTGGAGAAGTTTTAGTTATGAAGAGAGATTGAATAAACAGGGGTTGTTTTCCTTAGAGCAGAGGAGATTGAGAGGGGACATGGGAAGAGAGTAGGCCATTCAGCCCCTCATGCCTGTTCTGCCATTCAGAGAGATTATGGTTGAACTCTGGCATAACTTCATATCGCTGCCTTTGGCCCATATTCCTCAATACCTTTGCTTAACAAAATATTGTCCATCTCAGATTTAAAATTAATAACTGATCCAGCATCCATTGCCATTTCTAGAAGAGAATTCCAAACATCTACCACCCTTTGTGTACAGAAGTGCTTCCTATCATTGCTTCAGAATGGTCTGACCCTAATTCTCAGGCTATGCCTCCTACAGTCAAAGTCATACAGATATACAGCACAGAGACAGACCCTTCAGTTCAACTTGTCCATGCTACCAGGTATCCTAAATAAATCTAGTCCTTTCTGCCAGCATGTGGCCCATATCTCTCTAAACCCTTCCTATTCATATATCCATTCAGATGTCTTTTCAATGTTGTAATTGTACCAGTCTCCACCACTTCCTCTGGCAGTTCATTCCATACATGCACCAACCTCTGCGTAAAAAAAGTTGCCCCTTAAGTCCCTTTTAAATCTTTCCCCTCTCACCTTAAACCTATTCCCTCTAGTTTTGGACTCCCCCACCCCTGGGAAAAGACCTTATCTATTTACCCTATCCATGCGCCTCATGATTTTATAAACATCTATAAGGTCACTCCTCAGCCTCCAACACTCCAGGGAAAATAGCCTCAGTCTATTTAGCTTCTCCCCCACCCCTCCCAGTTCTACTATCCTCAACCAGTGGAAATCATTTATCTGCCTTGTTTTTTCCTGTTAATATCTTGAAGACTTCAATCAGATCATCCCTTAATCTTCTAGATTCCAGAGAAAACAAGACTAATTTGAAATAATCTCTCCTCATAACTTAACCACTGAAGTCTAGGTATCATTCTTGTAAATCTTCTTTGTATTCCTTTCCTATGATGTGGTGTCTATATCTATTCAGTCTAAGTGAGATCCAACCAAATTTTTGTATAACTGCAACGTCTGCATTCTTATACTCTAGTCTTCTAGATATAAAGACCAGCATTCATGTTTGTGGAATTTTATACACCTGAACTGCAGTTCTCTTTGGGCATACAATGTAGAATGTATCCTGATCCACCCTTTTTCAATCCAAAATAGATAATATCACTCTTACTTACACTGAACTCCATCTACCATAGTTTACTCATTCACTGAGACTCACAAATTCCTTTTAATTTTATGCTGTCATCTACAAGACAGGCAGGAAGGAACTTTTCCTCTTGATGGAGGGATCAGTGACTAGAAGGCACAGATTTAAGGTACGGGAAAGAAAGTTTAGGGGGGAAGTGAGGACACTTTTTTTCCACTCGGGATGCTGGGAACTCACTGCCTGTAAGGGTGGTAGAGGCAAAAACCCTTCTAACATTTAAGTAGTACTTGCAATGCCAAGATATACAAGGTTATGTGCCAAGTGCTAGAAAATGGAATTAGAATAGTTAGGTCATTATTTTTGACCAGCACAGACTTAGTGGGCCAAAAGGCCTTTTTCTGTGCTGTAGATCTCTGTGCCTATGACTGTGGTCACTGAACTAACATGGATAATTGCTTCAGACCAGGGTGACAGTGTCTGATCCTGTGGTCCCCTTCATTGGTCCTGGGGAAAGAGGATGGCCCATATCTCCATTATCTGACCATCCGTAACTCTGCTCCTCAGCTGTGTCATTTGGAATTGCAGAAAAGACCATTCCTAGTTGGAATGATGTGACCATTGGGATTTAAGTACGGCCTCCCCTAAGAGTGAAAATTGGAAGATCACAGCACCAGTGAACACCTCTGCAGTGAGTCACCAAGACTTTTGGAAGATATCCCTCATTGAAACTCACCAAAATATACTACAATAAAATACTGGGAGCTAGGGTGGCGTGGGGGTAGGAGATTGTGAAGGTGGAGGTGAAGCAGGAATTAGCTTTCTGTTTGTCTTTACTCAATTGCTGCTTAACCTAGAGCATCTTTCCAATATTTAACTTAGTTAAAAATTTTATGGATTGCATTATTTTGATTTTTTTAATTAAATGAAGCATTTTGAGATAATTCCACCTGGATACACAAAAAGAATATTAAACGTATGGGTGTTTCCACTGCCATAACAAAATACATTGGTTCATGTTCTACACAGTGTCTGTATTTAAATATGCATGATTTAAACCACATCTCCATGATGATCATACCATCAGCTGCCTAGCCGCTAAGTTCTGGGAGTTCCCTCCCCAAACCTGTGTCTTTCTAACTTTTGAATCAGAGATAGTAGGAACTGCAGATGCTGGAGAATCCGAGACAACAAGGTGCAGGGCTGGATGAACACAGCAGGCCAAGCAGCATCATAGGAGCAGAGAGGCTGACGTTTCGGGCCT